AGCTATTTATGGTTTCTCTTCTCTGGTTGCTTCTTCAACTGCTCGCGCTTGAAGATCTAAGTAAGCCCTGTAATCTCTCTTTAATACTCTTCTTTTCAACATGCTGAACGTGACAGATTCTTTGTATCTGTTCTTTACCTGTCATCCTGTCTCGTTGGGTGTGGATGAACGAACATCTTGATGTTTCACCATTGATGTTCTACACTGTCATCATCAATTTGTTTTTCTAGTATTTGGAACTAATTTCTCCAGGAAACACTCAATCTGTTTCGTTTTTCTTCTTTAACCAGAAGTTCAATGTCGTGGTTTAAGTTGTCTATCAGTAGGATTTCCCCTTTCTCCTAAATTGAGCTTTGCCAAAAATAGATGATGATCAGATCTGAGTCCTTCTCCCCAAGCTAGATGATGATCAGATCTAAGTCTTCCCCAAGCTAGATGATGATCAGATCTGTGTCTTCACCAAGCTAGATGATGATCAGATATGAGTCTTCCCAAAGCTAGATGATGATCAGTCCTGAGTCTTGCGCAAATTTGATGCGGATCATATCTACGTCTTCCCAAACTAAATGGTGAAGAGATGCAACATCAGCTCCTCTTTTCGATTGACGTATATTAGTCACCTGCCAAATTTGTGTGCTATTGCATATGATGTCAGTTCGTTTTTTCTGTTCAGTTTTCTAGGAGACAATCAAATTACCTAGTTGGTTTTCTTATGCTGAAATACGCTGCGCTCATATAACGAGCTCATTGGTGTTGAAGAACTCTACCGCCATTTCACCGTTTTCATTTCTCTCTCTAAAGACACAACCCCAGAGTTCCTTTATATTCTTCATTTTTTTAAATTAAATATAGCAATTCGATATCCTATTATAATATTTACATCTGTAACTGGAAATTCATCTCGTACGACTTTTTCTCTATTGTAGAAAGTTTCTATTTCTGCTTCCTAACTCTTTTTGTTTGGCGCATAGCATTGTGTCACATTCATAGCACCGTAACAGTATAAACTGGCTTTGGCCAAAATACGTCATGACTGTTCTCGCGTTAATAGATCTCTCTCTCTCTCTCTCTCTCTCTCTCTCTCTCTCTCTCTTATCAGGGTTGACATTGTTTGCTTGTTTTTTTGTGTGTTTTTTCTGGTTGACATTTCTGTAGCAACGTTTTATTACAGGTGAGGTATTTGGGCCTCAAAAAATATACTATTCCTTTTCCTAGGGATTTGTCGTGGGGAAATTTTCCCAATTCCTGTAACACGGGAAACGAAGGAATATAAAACGGCGATGTCGTCTTTTTAAAAAAAAGAAAAGGGATTCTTTTACGGTTAAATAATTCCCCCTTACGGTTCATCTACAAGTTGATCCATTTATACTTGATATCACAATTTAATTCAACAGGTTGGGAATATTACTGGTTAATTTAATTGGCTGAATCCAAGAAAAGCTCATTCTACCATGACCAGTTTATAGCAATAAATTTGAGTAATGTTGGTGCAATTCTTAACGAAGACAATCGTGTTACAGTTGTAAGCTTTCGTTACTAAGTCACATTCCTAAACTGCTTGAGTTTCTAAAATGATTTTAATTTTTCAAGGAATTAATATTTATATATTTATATGCTTTTTAAAATATTTAAGCTATACATGTCACGGATGCTACAACCTCAACGTCGCCAGGGGCAACATCCTCAACAGCAAAACTGTTGTCAGGGTCAACAGAATCGACCAGCATACGGACATCGGTGGCAACACCATCAACAGCCACACTCTTGTCAGAGTCAACACCATCGACAGCCCAACGGACGTCAGTGGCGACACCATCAGCAGCTCAAACAAAGAGGACAACAACAAAGAAAGCCTTCTATCGTATGACATCGTGTGGTTTTCAATTCAACCTATTTATTTTTCTTCCAAAATCTCTTTTACAAAGCCCTTACACTTCCTCTACAACTTCAACTTATCCCTGCCCCTCACCCAACCCCTCCCACTACCATTCCTATCCCTCTTCCATTACCACTCCCTCAAACACCCCCCCCCTTACAAACTCCACCTACCATTCCGCCCTGATCAACTTAACTTACCTTACAACGATTCCCACCACCACTCCTACAACCTATGTTATAATCTACTTTGGATAAAATCTTACCTAAGTGGCTACTTTAGAGTGAGATCTCATTGTTAGGTCTTATTTAGAGTAGGATCTAACTTTTAGAGTATAACTTGTGTTTTTGATCTCCCAACTAATCCCTATCTAATTAATTCTATCACATAGTCCCATTAGCCAAGCCCACTATCATTCTCCCCTACACTCCACGTACCACTCCCCTACCACCCCCCTTCAAGTCCCCGTACAAATCCCAACCTCCTCCTAAAACGTTCCCCTTTACCAACCCCCCACCTTCTCCCTTATCCTTAAACTCCCATTATCACTCACCTTACCCATCCCCTATAACCACTTATCATACCACTTCCCGTACCACTCCCTCTACCCTCTTATATTACCACTATCTCAATCCACTATCAGTACAATCCCCTACCAATTGTTCTAGCATTACCTGTACTACTCCCACTAATAATAACTCTATCCACTTATTCAAACATTCCCCTATCACCCCCCCCCCACTAACTTCCCTTGTTCTCACTTTATCGTATCCCTACCTTACCACTCACCCTGCCAATTGCCTACCTCTAATCCTACTACTCCCTCACACCACTTATCCTACTACTCCTCAAACAATAGTTGGTGATGATGATGATTCAGTATATTTTAAGCGCTTGTACACATACCATTTTAGCATCCTCACAGCGCTCTGATGTTCTTAATTATATTTAAAGAAAAAAGTCTTTCTTTGATCTTAAATGACTTTGTATTATTTTCAATGTCCCTCAAAGATTGAGACAAACGTTTCCAAAATTTAGGCGCAATAGCTCCAAAAGAGCGCACACAGTATGACATCTTTCTGTGTCCATCCACACTGGGAACTCTCAGTAAGGACTGTGTCGCAGGTTCTGTATGGATACATTTTTAGAAAGAAGATTTTGAAGATATACAGGTGCAGAGAATATTTATACGGCCTTACGCCAAGGACATAATTTTGTAGTAAATGCGCGTACCCACAGGATGCCAGTGGAAATCTTCAAGAACTGGATTGATGTGGTCAGATTTTTTTTTATACGCGATACAATGCGGACTGCAGTATGTTGTACCTTCTGGAGTCTCTGAATTTGGTTTTAAAATAACCCGACCAACAAACTGTTACAGTAATGTAATCATGATTGGATTAGACTTACTGCTACGGCATTGGCTGTTCTATTATTAAGTTGAGGAAGCAGCTGTCTCAGAGCACGAAGATGGCAGAAACAAGCCCTGAACACAGAACTTACCTACCATTACTCTCCCCGTAATATTCCCTTTATCCAATAACATATCAGTCAACTACCTTTCCCCTTCAACTAATTCTACTTCTATGACAGCTTCTACATCTATCACTACCCCTGCCACTCCTCTACCACTCATCCACTCACTTTTCTACCATTCCCACTACCAAAACTATCTTACACCTCCTTAAACACATAGCCTACCACTTTCCTTACTAATGCTGTACCACTTTCCCCATCACTCCCCTCTGCAACTCCTCCTAACTATTCCATTACAACTGTTCCTACCACTCGCATTACCAGCAAATTATTTAGTACCTTCATTTTGTTACAGCTGTCAACATTTTTTATTATTTGTTTAATGTTAATAGAAAGAGCATCTCATGTAACTGTCTACTTTAATGTAACCGTTTATTCTATCGTCTCATTTATAGAACAATCTTATTTACTGTCTAGTTTAGAATAACACCCTATATCATAATCTACTTCAGATTAATATCGTATTGCATATCCACTTTAGAAGATGTTGTTATACTTTTGTCCACTTTAAAGTAATATCTTATTGTATATCCACTTTAGAATAATGTCTTATGCTGTTGTCCACTTTAGAGTAATATCTTATTGTATATCCACTTAAAAATAATGTCTTATGCTGTTGTCTACTTTAGAGTAATATCTTATTGTATATCCTCTTTAAAATAATGTCTTATGCTGTTGTCAACTTTAGAGTAATATAGTATTGTATGTCAACTTTAAAATAATTTCTGATGCCGTTGTTCACTTAAGAATAGCATTTTTAATTTTAGTCTACTTTACGGCAATTTTTCTTAACCTCTACTACACGGAGCATATTGGGCTCGAGCCTATTGGGCTCCGTGTCCACTTATTAAGGGCTCCACGGCAAAGGAAGTGCAAATAACGTTAAAACTATTTCAAGAAACCCAATCTTTTATTCTGAATATTTATACGAAGAAAGGTAGCTTATGAACTTTCATCGCAAATAAATTTACAGCCTCTTCAACATTGAAGCTCATTTATGCCAAATATGGCCTTTAATAGCACGGAATTGGCTTGTAAGAAACCTGTCCCTAATGTCTCTTGTCACCGCGTAGGAAACTGGTTTTGGCTTAATTTTTTATTTTGACCAATTCTTAAGAAATATACAATGAGGAATGGGGTTGTACGGTTGAAAAATATTCTTGATTGGTATTGCATTGTTAGGAGGAGTTTGAATTGTTTAAACGAATCCCGGCTGGTCAAAACTTTAATTTGAAACACAGCTGATTCAAATTACCTTAGGGTACGATCTACTTCAGGCAAAGTCTAACATTTTCATCGGTCATTTATAAAAGTCTCGTCTTTGCTAAAGCTTTTCTTCAAGCTAAACAAATATGGCATTATCGACTCAAATTGTTTGTCTCTTACTTAAATTATAATATGTAAATAGTTTAAATTTTCTTATGCTTATATATAAATTCATATGGATTAAACATAGATAGTTAAATAATTATTAGAAATTTAAAAGCTAATAAAATATGAAGTTAATATCTTAAGGAAAAGTGAAAATTCTATTTCATTCTAATGTAGTCTAAAACATATTACTTTTTTGTATTCATTTTTTTTTCCAGCTAGCGAATGTCCGGTGGGTTACTTTGGAAAATCATGTCAGTATTTATGTCATTGCAAAAACTATGTATGTCAAAGAGATGGGCGATGTACAAGAGGTTCCATCTGTGAAGACGGTTGGTTCGCACTGGGATGTCAGTACAGTACGTTGTTACTTTTTTAACGCATCAGTACATTTAGTGTTTTCATATGTTTGCTCACAGGACATCAGTTTATTTCATAAATATTTGGAATTTCGGTACAATATTGGAGAACACCTGTCAAGTCGGTTCAGCATTTCGTTAAAACGAATTGTAATGTCACGCTTCTATTTTTTTTTTTTGGTGCAAATTCTAATGTCAAGCGCGGTGAGCCTAGTTCTAATCTAAAATACCTCATTAAATAAGACCTCTCATTATTATTAATGATAATAAACTATTGTCATAATTTAAAAGAAGGAAATATTGATAATATTGGCATTGCTAACGCTAAACCTAACCCTAACCCTAAACCCTAAGCATAAACCTTAACCCTAACCCTAAAACCTAACCCTAACCCTAAAACACAACCCTAACCCTAAACCCTAACCCTAAACCCTAAACCCTAAACCCTAACCCTAACCCTAACCCTAAAACCTAACCCTAACCCTAAACCCTAACACTAACCCTAACCCTAAAACCTAACCCTAAACCCTAACCCTAACCCTAACCCTAACCATAAACCCTAACCCTAACCCTAAACCCTAACCCTAACCCTAACCCTAAAACCTAACCCTAACCCTAAAACCTAACCCTAACCCTAAACCCTAACCCTAACTTTAAAAAAAAAAGAATCTAACATAACTTGTACAGTTTTATTTTAGATACGTTGCTAAATATTTGTTTTTAAATGAAATGCTTACACTTTTTTGTGTGGATAAAATGATCACCAGCGGTAACATATTCAAACATATTTTCAAAAAAAATGTTAAGTACATGACCTTTGTTTCAAAAGATGACCTTGCCATGGGCAGTGAAGCCAGTGACCCACTTTTGACCGATAACAACGACAGCTCTTGTTACGTTCCACCAGAGAACGTCATCAGTGCTAACCTGACAGAACCGTTTGTCTATACTTGGGTCCGTGTCGTATTCACTAGTTACGGTACGTGACAGATTATGTACTGTTTTGTTACGCTATGCGAAAGAATATTTATCTTTTTTACCGTTACTGTAGATCCCATAATTTATGACATTTTACATGATTTCTTAGGAAATTTTTGATGATTTCTTCAAGGTGTACTGTCCAAATTGAATTTAATTTTCAACGATTTTTTTTTTAAACATAATTTCTATCAATTTGACAAACTATCATTTTACCTTTATAATATATTTATTTAAAAATTTAAAATGCTTTTTGCAAGTGCATAAATATATCTTTTTATTATAGTCGTTTATTTCTTAATGCATCAAAATTAAAATGAAATACACATATTTATACTTTAAAATAATTTTTGTTTCAAAATATCTAAATTTATTTCAAGTAGTTTCAAACGTATTTATTTTTTTTTTCACATCTCTCCAAAGTGTTCAATTTCTCGATGTCCTTCCAAGATTCTGAAAAATGTGAACATATACGGGTGGTGGCCGAAGAGAAAAATCATTTTGACATATTCTGCAGCAATGAAATTGTAACAAAGTACATCGAAATAACTTGGCAAGGGAACGGATCGGTTTGCTCTCTGTATATAAACGGGGGTCAGTACGACTGGTATTAATAGGGGTCAGTCTGGCCGGTAAAAATAGGGATCATAATGACTTGTATTGCTATGAATGAGTGTGTATAATAGAGTAGGTGCCAAAATTACCGGTACTGAACCGCTCCCATCATGAACAAGTAAGTTGCGTCGTTCAACGATAAATTGTTATAAACATCACATTTTCCAAATAATAAAAAGGGATTATATGAAGGTATCTTGTTAGAAATCGGTCCTTAACGGTACTAACATCATAACATCAATTTCCTTCAACACGTAAGTTTTCTTGAAAGGCAACAGAGTTTGTTTAAGAGCAGTTCCGAGAGAAACTAAGAGAAGATATGACTTTTATTAAAGCATTATAAAGTTTATTGGTTCGGAATGTAAGCTTTCTGGATGTGCACTCGGTGAACGCTGGCGAAATCTGGTCAATTTAGTAAAAGAACTATAGTTTCCTGGACAAATCTTTATCCTCGCTCACCAAGGCGAAGAAAACCCTTCTACCACGCACAATACTTGACCGTACATCCGTTTCTTTGAAACGATGTCCAACCAATATCCGTTATGTAAATGCCCATGTGTGTTTAAAGACAAGTGAATGGACAAATCACCGATGTTCAGTTGAATGATGTTCGTTGAAGGGACGAAAACAAGTTAAGCTGGAGAACACGTTGGTGAATCTCATTCATCCTACAGCAGAATGGTCTAACTGGGTTCCGTCTTTCACATCATTTCTCTGCTGCTTTACAGCCAACACGCCATTCCCCACATCACCCTTTCTTGACCTATTAAGTACGGGCAAATATAGGAGTCAACTAAGCATCATTCCCAATAGCAGCTCTGCAACACATCTTCCCTGCCGCTACTGGGAAGACACTGTGACTGAAGCAATGGACGGTTAACTAACAATGTCGAGCATTAAAGCTGCTGGATTTTAATAAATGTCATGCTTCATGCAATAATTATGTAATTATGACACTTCAAAAGAGTGGTCAGTTGGACTAAAAACTATGTGGACAGTTGACTAATTTAAATTGGCACCTTTAAGAGAGGAATAACTGCGAGTCAGTTTGAATTTTGTAGATGCTTTAAGAAAGAATAATTAAAATAGGACTCAGCATGACTAGTATATAAGGATGTAGCTACTGGAGATATAAATGGTATTTTTCTATAACTAATTGCATCGAGGTTATTATTACCATAATAAACGGTGGCAAGAATTAATTATATAAATTGGTCTTTGTCTAGCTAACATAAATAGTATTCTTAAGACACTGTATGGGATGACTTTAAATCAATATTATAAACAGATACCATTATGCTATTGGAGAGGCAGGCTATGCATGTAATACACAAGTCAATGAGAGGGTACTGGTTACACTATACTTTGGTTTGACTACAACAAATAGTGTGGTGACTACACAAAAGTTAATAGGACTGTTCATGAACAAGAACTCTAATTAATTAACCTACAATGGATCGCTTTGCCCTTCCATAGTTTTCAGTCTATTTGAAATGGTTAAAGTTCCGAAAAATGGTGAGGAGGGGGTAATTTTTAAACACAAAACCATATTCTAATTAATAGAATTGGGATTTAGTATTTTATTACTTAATTTATCAATAAAAATATCATTTAAAAAAACAATTGTAAAAGCGAAAAACCATTTGGTTGATGCTCCACAGGTCGCAATGTCGCCATAGAAAGTTACATCCGAATGCTTAAAGAGGAGAAGACGTTTGATACAAATTTATTGAAAGATGAAATCACAACCGAAACAGACTGCGTGCACTTTCCCAGTGACGTTGGAAATAAGCTGATGTTACGATACACAGATCAACAAACAGTGACCAAAATAATTATTTACACTGGTAACTTTGTGATGAGTGTAAAAATTAGTGTTCTTAACTTGTTTTATGTGTTAATGTTGTTTTTTTTTTTTTAAAAATAAAATCATTGCGAAAAGCCTTTTAGGCCTTCCCTATGTCTTACAAATTAACTAACAGGGGCGGCTCCTTCAATGGTATTAACTCTCACTTCAATAAGTTGCCATAATAACTTTTGTGACCAGTCTGGAAAAAAATCAACCTCCAGGACTGCATTATTTTTCTTTTTTTAACAGAGATGTCGGTTAAAAAGCCTTCAAGAGCAAGTTTATTCCACCATACACAATTTAAGTAAAAAATCCCTAAACATTTAGGGTCATTTCACGAATTATGGCAAACACCACGTCGCATTTAAACAGTGAAAATTACGTTTATAGGTCGTGGAAATCCTTACGTAGTGTACATGCCGAGAACCAGTATATTTAAACGTATAGATTGCACAATTTAAATCACAGATATTAAGATTTTCCCTTAAAAACTTAAAAATTCCGGTTTAGCTACAGGAACGAAAAAATTAGAGTAATCTTACGAGATCATTATTTTAACTCGCTAATCAATGGCCTTAACAAGCCTTCATTAAATAAGCGAATGTAGAAAAACTGATTAAAAACTATTCCCATTTACAAAAAAAAAAAAAAATTATACAATTTATTGTTTTTTCTCAATTGCTAATACAGCACACTCTACGTGAGTCCGAAGTGTTGAAGTAACGAGTGGGAGTAGATACGGTGCATAATCATGGCTATCAAAATAACATCTATATATATAAAAATGAATGTTTGTATGTCTGTCTGTCTGTATGTCTCGTATGCGCTCCTACACCATTCATGCGATTGCGAAAAAACTTTAAAAAGTTGTTTTCCACACAACCGGCCATTTAACGAAGTTATTAAAAACTTTATCAAGTATTCCGTTCCTATCCGTTCGCCCTTAATTCGTTTTTTTTCTAATATGAGCTTTATAAAATATTTTCCATATGCGCTCCTACGCCATTTATCCGATTCATATAAAACTTTGGTGAAATGTTGCGAGCATGTTTATAAACATTTCTAAATTTTTACAATCGTTTTAAATTATTCAGTTTTGAGCCAGGGGCCTCACATTCGTTTTTCCTTATATGAGCTATATAAATATATTTTCAAACCGTATGCGCTCCTACACCAATCAAGCGATTGCTACAAAACTTAGTGAGTTGTTGTCCATACGCCAGTGCATTTTACTGTGTTATTTAAACACTTTTAAAAACATTTTGTTTTCGGCCGTTGGCCCTTAATTCGTATTTTTTGTAATATGCGCTTTGTAAAAAATAAATTTCATATGCGCTCCTACGCCATTTATCCGATTCCAAAAAAACTTTTATGACATGTTGCAAGCTTCTCTATAAAGGTTTCTAAATATTACAACCATTTTAAAGTATTCATTTTTGAGCCAGGGCCCTCTTTTCGTTTTTCCTTATATGAGCTTTATAAATATATTTTCAAACCGTATGCGCTCCTACACCAATCATGCGATCGCTACAAAACTTAGTGATTTGTTGTCCATGCGCCAGTGCATTTTACTGTGTTATTTAAACACTTTTAAAAATATTCCGTTTTCGGCCGTTGGCCCTTAATTCGTATTTTTTGTAATATGAGCTTTGTAAAAAAATAATTTTCATATGCGCTCTTACGCCATTTATCCGATTGATTTAAAACTTTGGTGAGATGTTGCAAGCATGTCCATAAAGGTTTTTAATTTGCTACAATTGTTTTAAAGTATTCAGTTTTGAGCCAGCGGCCTCATTTTCGTTTTTCCTTACATGAGCTATATAAATATATTTTCAAACCGTATGCGCTCCTACACCAATCAAGCGATTGCTACAAAACTTAGTGAGTTGTTGTCCATGCGCCAGTGCATTTTACTGTGTTATTTAAACACTTTTAAAAACATTCTGTTTTCGGCCGTTGGCCCTTAATTCGTATTTTTTGTTATATGACAATTCTACAATATTCCATTTGTGGAGGGGGGTCCTAAATTCGTTTTCCACACTTCTATTATCTATATAATTATAGTATGCATTTCTATACCATTCATTCGATTGTGATCAAACTGGGTCAAGTGAAATGCGCACTACCGAAAATGTTTCTAAATTAGAAAAAAACATTTTACAATATTCCGTTTGGGCCAGTGACCCTAATTTCATATTTTCTTCTAAGAGCTTTGTAACTATAATTTCAAACAGAGCTATTGCATGTGTGGAAGTAGCTGAATCCGCCGGCAAATTTTTCAAATTTAGTACATCCATTGTACAATATTCCAATTAGGGCTGGGGACCCTAAATTCAATTTATTTTCTTAAATGAGCTTCATCAATATAATTTATAACGAAGATATCAACACTACCGCCCTTGAACAAATGACACATTTGTAGTAAAGCAGAGAAAACACGTTTTTACATTTTTAGTGTAGAGAGTATTTTTGTTATGTGTATAAATAAGCTTGAATTTTGTGACGCATTTTAGAATCGGAAATGACATCAAAATCGCGTTTTTTT